TGCACGGTCTGGATTTCTCGATCGGAAAAGTAGACCTTCGATCTTGGAAGGGACAGGAGTTGTGCTAGTCACTCCGTTACTGTAGCTTTATTCGTTCCAAAATGCTTCATACTGTAGCTAGGTTGCCTGTAAAATCCTCTGCGAGAAACAGCCACTTGCGTGAGTGCATCGAGCTTTTAGCATAGTCGGCAGGTGTGTTGATGTGCATTCTTCCTACAAATCAAAGCACAAGAGGGCAAAAAAGGTGCCATATTAGCTCGCTCCCCGTGGAATGATGGCCTTTTAATTAATCCTGCAGCGTGGACTACCCGTGGGGCTGTGTGTGTGCAATGCATCGACAAATCACAGTTCACAAGTATACCGCGCAATGCATGTTCATAGGGATTAATTGAAAAATATCATCAATCATGATAGATGACGAGTGATGGAATAATTTTGTGGTTTGCAAAAGTACACAATTAATGTGTTTTTCTTTTTTTAAATGTGTGTACCAATGTATTAATTACAATGCGTGCATGCACGGTCAATAAATGGCCAAAAAAATTACTCTCTTTGTTTTTATTTACTCTGTATAGTAGAGTTAACCGAAGTCAAACTTTGTAAAGTTTGATCAAGTTTATGAAAAACAATAGACATTTACCATGACAAATCTATATATACAACGTGAAAGTACATTCAATAATAAACCTAATGTTGTTCATTTGTTATTATATATATATGTTACTATTTTCGTTTATAAACTTCGCCAAAGTTTAGAAAATTGACTTTGACCAAAACTAATACGCGGACTAAATAAAAACGGAGGGAGTACATGCATTGCCGAGTTTTCTCTTTATCTGCATGCAACAATTTTAATGAACCTTGAAATCTGAACATGGGACGATGAACAATAAATTTGAGACCTATATAACGATTTTTTTGAGATAAACCTTATAAACCAGAAGAGAGGAAATAGCTAATAGCAGTGATCAAAAGTTAAAAACATTATGGTACATGGTGATACATGCCAGGCTCTTGTAGCAGTATCACGTGCGATCTTGCTCGTTTGGCGAGTTAAAATTTACGGAAAAGGCCAGATTAAATCAAGGTATAGTCTATATGAAACTTTGCTAAATAGAGGTGCCCGGATTGTTTTGAAATTTCATTTTATTGATTACTATGTCGCACAATGTTGTTCATTCACTCTTTTATGGAGCTTTGCTTGATTCTGGGAAGTTTCGGCAGTGCATCAATGCCTTGTTCTAGCGGCGACAGTGGTCATTTGGTGATCTAGGGGCCTCAATGCAATTTTTATTATTGTTTAAGATGTTTTGTACTTCTATGAATCTTTTATCATAGATTTGAATTTTTTTTAAAAAGAAGAAAAATACTTTTTTTGTTCATTTTTATAAGGCCTTGAAGACATTTCAGATAGGATGCAAAGTAGCTCATTTTTTTTATTGTCTGGACGATTTATAAAAATGAACGGAGGGATTATTAAGTTGTCCAACATGACCTGCATGGCATGGCCGACCAAGGGCAGTTGATCTGGTCATGGGTAGGGGCCAGAATAGTCATCGATAGGTAACCACCGCAATGACACCCATACCCAGATATACTCTGTTGCAGCTAGCTAGCCTAATTAGCTTGTTTATATATGTGTCTAGGAACGTGCACTTGCGCTTGAAATGCTTGACACAGTGACACCACTTACCGTCGTCGGGATGCATCGTCCCACATCGCCGTTGACTTGAGCTAGGTTTGTGTAGGTTACCGCCAGCTCCGGCCTCCTGTCGCCGCACATATGCATGCATGCCATGAAAATCAGAACATGTGTAGGTTAAAGAAACTTAGCTCCGTTTTGCGTAAGTTATATATATCATCAAGTACCGTATTACTAACGGAGGCGCGCCTGAGGGAGAAGTATCACCCGTCCACTTTTCAACCATGATCATGATAATATTACTCTCTTCTTTTATTGCTGCTCCGAGATTCTCGCATAGTCGGCAAATTAATAGCGGTGCTAATACTGCAAGCAAAGCGCATCAATACCGACCGCGTGTTCTAGAGAAGACCCAGATAATGGCGCAGCCGAAAATGACGATTCCGACGATGTCAATTGGCGGAGTGTGAATCGCCAACGGGATGGTGAGCGGCCGCCAGAATTGCCAGAAGCAGACGGTGTGCGAGCTCATGTATGTTCAATGGAGTTCCTGTTTTCTTTTCTTTCAAAAAGCGCATGTGCTAGCTAACTATTTTTATTGTAATAAGATTTTTTTAAGCTGGACAAATGAGCCTTCGGGCTGTCTGATCTCTTTGCTTGTCGACGATTGTAATGTCTACGTTGAATCAATAAAGCTACTTAAAAAAGCGATATATTCAGCTTGGCTTATTTTAAAATCAATCATGCATGGTATAATCGGGTACGAATCATGTTACCAACGGAGGCGCACCTGACGCCACTTCCAAACAGCATGATTGCTCGTTCATCTCTTTTCCGCGTCGCACGGCTAGCTCCAAAAAAGTGAAGAAACATTGATCCGCCAGCACGTCACATCTTCCTGAGACGTACAATGTGCACTGGCTAGAACTACAGGTCAGTAAAGAAGTAGCTCCTCTCCAAGATTCTCTCGTAGTCGGCAAATTAGTTATTGTACTGCTGCAAGCAAGCGCATCAGCACCGGCCGTCCCTTCTAAAGTAAGAAAAGCTAGCTCCAATTCAAGTCCTTAAATCAAGTAATCTAGAGCCAGCGTGGTTGTCAGTTGATGCTCTTGTTCGTGTGGCGTTGACCTTGTGCATGGACAGCACGAGAGACCGGCCGGAGTGTAACGTCGCCAATGGCTGGATAGAGTTGCAAAGCAAACGCAACCGACTCGGGGCGTCAAAATCTCCGGTAACGCAGGCTACCCGTGGCCTGGGCTGGCCTGAATACCGTGCAATCGCATGGGATTGATGCAGCCTGTACCACACGTCGGACCGTTGGAGCCGCGAGGAAGGAACTTTTCCCTACTCGGAGAAGATTGGAATTTTCGGCAGCTATCCATGTCGCCCATGGCTCCGTGGAACATTCAGCTTATACTACTGCTCAAATATACAGACGAACCTGAACCTGAACATACAGTTATTAGCTGATGAAACTGAACCTGCATGCATACGGCTCAACAATACAGCACAATCTTTGCTTGATTTTGCCTAGCTTTAGTAGACTATAAAGTAGTCTTTTGGTTTTCCTGCTCTCAGTGCCTTTCTTGACATAATCGAGTTCATTGGCTTCCTTTTTTCTGCTATCTTCTTTTAACCTTGTTTGCAAGAAGGGCTAGTTTTCTAACAACGCAAAAACAAAAGATACGATGTGGCGCTACATGCGTCTAGGGATCAATTCAGTCGTTGGAGGACACGTGTAATATTTGTCGCAACTCGTGTAACATTTTTGGCACCAATATACAACTGTCAGCTGAGAAATACTAGCCAGAAAAGAAAAGATTACAGCTAGCTTCGTGAACGGAGCAGAGAAAAAACACATAAAATTCTAGTGCAACTGTTGATGCAAATCTTGTCTCAACAAATTGGAAAAAAGACTTGTAATCACAGATGGAGCAAAATAAAAATCAGAACCGATTTTAATTAAGCTTCCTGGTATGTCCATCTTGCTTTTTCATGACGCCCGGGCGGTATCTCCTCCGTCCTGCTCCAGCAGAGGTGGTGGATTCATCTTTAAATCTGGGATCGTCCTCGTCAACCTCAAGCTCGTAGGTGACTCTACCCTTAGTTTTTAACTGCTCCCTATAGTTTCTCTGCTCTTCTAGCATCCGGCCCTTGGTGAGCTCCTTGAGCATGGCCAAGTTGGCCCACATTATGCCCAAGTTCGCAGCCAGTTTTGGGGCTCTCCTGACCCAGAGCTCGGGCACCTCCGTATCGATGGGTTTTTCCTTGTAGGAGAGCACACGTTTTACATCGCTATCTGGCACCTGAATCAACACCTTCTTCTTCTTCTTCTTCTTCTTCTTGATCTCCATAGTCGACGGCTCCGCAGGGTTTCCGGCCGGCCCGCCGCCGACGGCCGGATCGGCTGGTACGATTTTCTGAAGCTGCGGATCTGACGGCTCCTCATCCTTCTCGAACGAAGAACTTGTGCTTGCCATTGGTGCCTGCGCTGCACCCAATGCTATGATTTGATGGTTTGGATGAGAAATCAGGCACCTGGATGTATATATATACACACGTACGCCGGTACGCGCGAGCTAGGGAGTCCTTGTCGGACTCTTCTGGTGTTTGGTTCGCTGTTTTCGATCCGTTATCTGATTATTACAGCGGTACTCGAAACCGTTACTCCTGTTTGGTAGCGATTGGCTGTAATCAGAGACCCAAACCTGTGCCGCCGCCATCATCATCCTGTCCGGGACGAGCCCTGCATCCTCCCCTGCAGGTTGCAGCGGCTCCAACATGTGCTGAATTTTTGACAATCCAACATGTGCTGAGTTGATTACACGGCCCAGCCAAACACAGTACTGCAACCTGATACCTTTGTGTGCATGAAACAAACAAATTGGCAAATGGCCCCGTTACACCTCCTTTTGCACTGTTATCTGATTCCGTTAACAGTGACGTTACCGCTGGTTGAAACAAACACCTAGTTGTAAAGGAAATACCATATATATCTATATATGTAGATGTAGGACCTGCCGGAATCAGCAGGAGAAATCCAGACAACAATTCAGTCAGGAACACGAATCAGAAGCAGAGTCTAACACGAGGGGTTGGCTCCAGGTTTGCCGCCAACGCCTACGTCGAGGACAGCCACCGCTCCAAAGATCCCAAGTGGAAGCTGCCGGCGAGGAAGTGGCGAACTCCGACTGCCCCATATGTTTGATTACTTGGTTTTCTAGCACTTTAGGGCACCAGATTATGCAAATCATGGTTGTAGATGCCCTAAACCTGCTGATCCACCACTCCTCTTCCAAAGAACTCGAGCTTGCCATTGAGATCATATATTGATTTGATTGTGTGGGTGATTCTATTCGATTACCCGCCATAATACTATGTCAAATACTAGCTATGACATAGATTTTATTCTACTATATACTAAAAAAGACAATACGAATTAAAAAGAGAGAAATAGGCCAAAAAATCCACATTAATAAACATTTAACCATTTATTTGGTACATTATCTAATCATGGCCATCGGATCTTACAATTAGTCCCTTGGCGTAGAAGTTCAAAAATATTACCCATGTATGTCATCATGTACAAGTGTTCTTAAACTAGGTTAAAATCTTGAGGGTGTCTACTTATCAGCTGACTGATTTTAATTTGGACATCAGACAGTCTTTCATCCACACAAAATGGGACATGTGTAACTTTTTAATTTCCTCTCAAGAGACAAACATACATCAGGGGCCGCCTCTGTCTCACTTATAACGAGACGTAGGGCAGCCTCGTGTCAAGAGGAGTCATAGAGCAGCAGCGCGTTGCCGTCGCCCGCGTGCGCGAGCACACCATGACGCCGTGCTAAAATATTTTCTTCTTCTTTTTTGCTGTTCTATTTATATTTATATGAATCTATTTTGAAAATTTAGATTTAACCCAAAAAAATCACGACCCATGAATTTACAAAAACTTTACCAAAGTATAAAGTTTTTTAACACAATTAAAAAATGTTGATAGTGTTCCAAAAAGTGTTCCTACGTTTCAAAAAATGTATGTGAAAATTTGAAAAAATGTCTCTGAAGTAAAAAGAAATATTTCATACCATTAACAAATATATGGGGCAATTTAAAGAATTGTCCTTGCGTTTAAAAAATAATGCTTGTGACATTTGAAAAATGTTTATACATTTTATAAAATGCTTGCATATTTTAAAAAATAATTATAACCATAAAACAATTTTAAATGTGTAGTTGGAAACATATTGACCATGTATGAGAAAAAGTGTTGAAAACATGTACTAAAAATAAAAATGTACATCGTGTAATTGAATAATGTTCAACGTGTATCAAACCAATTTTTCAGGTGCACACTTGAAATATATAATGTGTACTGAAGAAACTTAGACTTGCGTTAAAAAAATAAAACCCATGAAAACCACCAGAGAAAAAAATTTAAAAGCAATGAAAATCAAAGAAAAATAAAAAGAAAGAAAACCTGTAAAAATCAAGAAAGAAACAAAGAAAACATGTGTAAAAACCATGGGAAAAATTTAAAACTAATAAAGAAGCGATAAAAAGAGGAAAAAAATAAAGAACAATCAAAGTAAACCTAAAGCAAAAAAACTGAAGCGACACAAGCAAAGGGATATAGCTCTCGCCCTCCTCCTCAGCGCCTATAACGCCAAGAGCTGCTCATGCGTGTATTAAGAGGGCTGTGGCCCATTAAATGACACATCACGCCGGTTAAACCGGTTGCCAATTGACGGTTGACCAGTTGACAGGCCGTTGACTATTGAAAAAAATAGGAATTTAAAAAATCTGATGATTTTTTTAAAACATTAATTTTAAAAAAGGACATAAATTTCCAAAAGCAAGGTTCAAGAATTCAACAAAAAAATCACTAATATGGGAATAGAAAAAAATTGAGAATTGGAAAAGGTTTGTCAATTCAAAACAAAGTTGACAAAAGTTTGAGAATTAGAAAAAAAATCATGAATTTCAAATATTTGGTACCCTCAGAAAATGTCCATGAATTGGAAAAAAGTGCGCAAACTCAAAAAAACCTACTGAATTTTAAGAAATTTTGTTGAACTTGAAAAACAATGTTCACGAACTCGAAAACAGTTCATGTTTTTCAGAAATGTTGATGCACTCGAAAGAAGTTCATGAATTTGAAAATAGTTATCGGCTTCCGTTTTATGTGGCGAAAAATGTGCAATGTTCATAAATTGCAGAAAAAGTTCATGAATTCAAGAAATGTTTCAAAACTTGAAAAACTTTGTGAATATGAAAAAAGTCCGTGGCTTAAAATTGTTCATGAAATTGAAAAAGTTCGTGACCTTGAAAAAAGTTCACGAATTTCAATAAAAGTTCATGAATTGAGCGAAGTTCATTTACTTGATTTTTTTCATGATTTTGAAAAAGGCCTTGAATTTACAAAGATTTCACGAATTAGAAAAATGTCTGTGATTATTGTAAAGAAGAAAAAAGGGAAAGCAGAACGGAAAAATAAAAGGAGAAGGAAAAATAACAAAAAACCTAAAATAAAAACCAGACAAACAATATTAAAACAGAAAAGAAACCCAGATGGAGAGGCGTATAGAAGTTTCCTAATAAAATATTAAGTCCGTTCCAAAAAGCTTTTCTTATATTTATCTAGATAAGGACACATCTAACACTAAAATATGTTTATATACATTCATATCTAAAAACATTTAAGACAATTTTTTTTGGACGAAGGGAGTAGAAAATGCAAACCGCACTCACGAAAACCTGGCGCTCTATGTCGATGCAAAGAAAAAAAGCGTTAATCGGCCTAGTCCACGAGCGAGGCTACTACTACTAATGAGCCGGGTTTTTTTTAGAACCAATGAGCAGTTCTACTACTAATGGGTTTTGTTTAAAGTGGGCATTTCCCTCTTTTGTTGTCAGTCGTGGTGTTTATTTGTGGATTCCACGCTGCTAGCTCAGCAGAATTGTTCTTTTTTTAGGGGAATTTTCTTAGCAACCCAGCTCATGCCCCAAGTACGTTCTGTTCGAATTTTCCCATATATAGTAATTATTTAAGCTGCGAGAAAGAGAAAAAGGCTCACGTAAAATGGAGGCTCCACATGCCATCCTCCATTTTCCACGCGATCCTAACAAAAATGCAAATCATTAAGTCTGTGTTAGAACATGTTGATGTTGTTAGGCTTTTGATTGGGACTGAGAAGAATCATGATCATTAATATTGTCTTTTATAGTAAAGATAGTTGTGTGCACTCCTTCAGGCAGAGGGTGTGGGTGTGGCCGTTTAGTAGAAAAAAAGGATTGCAGATAGGTACATGTATAAATATGTTTTATATGTTGCTCTACTTCTCCACAAACGCCATTTATTTTCCTATTTTTACTCCAACGACATTACATATAATTTCTTTGTCTCAGCGTGCTATGAATAAAGCAAAGTTAAACAGACAAATCAATACTATGGTATGAATTGAATTGTACTTGTCCATTCAGGAAGTTTTTAGCCCACTTCCTCCGAGATGTTGTTGAGAGGATACATATGAAGAGAATCAGCCCATGGCGTGCCGACAATGGTGTTGCTGGCCGGCCTGATGCACTGCCACACGGCGCTGTTGCACTTGAACCCAGAACCGAACCCAATCATCCACATTCGGTCGCCCTTCCGCATCCGTCTCTTGGCCTCGATGTATGCAAGTTCATACCACAATGAACTGCTGGACGTGTTCCCGAACCGGTGAAGCGCCATTCGTGATGGCTCGACATCCCTGTCTGATAATCTTAAGCTATTTTGCACCGCGTCGATCACCGCCCGGCCACCGGAATGGATGCAAAAGTGCTGGAAGGCCGTCCGGAAATCAGGGACATATAGCTTCATCTTGCTGCTCAGCAGCTTCCTTGCAATGAACGAAATCGCAAAGCGCAGCTTCTCCGAGGGCGGGAGGACGAGGGACCCTATTGCTGTAATGTTGGCCTTGAGAGCTTCGCCGGCGACTGGTACAAGGTCCTTGGACAGGTATGCTCCTGTTTCTCCCTCATCGTCCTCTTTCATGGAAATGCACAGGTAAGCTCTGTCCTGTGCGGCGGTGAGAGTTCGCACGATGTGCATGAGCCGGAATCGGGCCTCAGACTTGGACGTCGACAGCAGCACCGCGGCCGCGCCCATGCGGAACAGGGCGTACGGCAGCAGCATCCCCCGGTTCTTGCCGGCATAGTTGATGATAGAGGTGCCCTCCGTGGACACCATGAGGGCGCGCGCGCCCCGCGGTGCCGCCTGCAGGAGGTTTCTCACGACCTCTAGGGAGATCACCCCCGCGCTGCACCCCATCCCGGATACGTGCACGCTCCGGATGTCGGCTCTGAGCTTGTACTTGTTCACGACGATGTCAGCCAAGCTCGGGGTCGGGTTGAAGCCACTGCAGTTGGTGACGAGTATGTCGATAGCTCCAGGACTTATGCCGGTCTTGGCGAACAGGTCGTCGACGGCTGCAAAGATGACCTGCTCCGCCTCGTCACGAGCATCACTCAAGCAGCATCGCGGGGGGATATAGTGGAACGAAGGGTGGAGGTAGGTCTGGTCACCGAGGCCCGAGCGCTCGTGCATGCGCGTCATGAAGTCGACACCTCCATCGTCGAGGTAAGGCGAGAAGCGAACATTCTCGACGGAGGAGCCTATGGAGACGCGGCAATTGGATTTTGGCCGGCAGCAAGCGTAGTCGACGAGGTACACGCTACGAGGGCGGCTCATGAGGTAGAGGGTGGCCAAGGCGAGTGGGAGGAAGACGACGAGCAGAACGTGGACCTGCCGCAAACCATGGAGCCGGGAGAGGATCTCCTCGGGTCCGAGCTGTGCGGCTTTACGGAGGAACACGATGGCTGTCACCGGCGCGACGACGAGCACAAGGAAGTTGTTCACGACGAGCTGGAACAATGGTTTGAGGTGCTTGTTGACATGGGGTGGTGAGGCCATGTTGCATGCTGTAGATTCGTACATGAAGAAGGTGCCCCAACTTAGGAGATTTTATAAAGGGCCGGACCGCCTCGTTGGTGAGTGTCACATCATGTCATCTTCTCGACTCGTGGTTTGGAGGATATAAACTTGACGTATTTGCTAATTCTCATGTTTCAAAACTTAGAAAACACATGATAAATGTGTCTTGGATGAGCTGTTGCCGTGTACCGGAGATTAATTCCTCTCCCCTAACAAACCACGTTATTGTTCGTTAATTTGTTGTTGGTTGGTGGCAATATGAGTGACAATGATTCATACACTATGCATTTCTTTGTCCAAGGGAAAGGAGAGAGAGTTTTTATGCTCTTCAGTGGAAAGACAAAAAAGTCATTTTTCAAGTACTTGTAGTACATCGTTGATGGCACCGAAACAACGCGACCGCCCATTTTGACAAAAGTAATCTAAATATTGGACAAAATCTGGACGTACATATAAAATTGAATTAGTCGCCTCGAAATAGATGAGAATTACTCGTTGAAAATAGTACTCCAACATTTCATATAATTGTACAAGGATGAGGATTATACTCCCTAGATGACTGGAGCGTTTTGGTGACCGGGCTTCATGGAGCCCAATTTTTTTTTAAGGAATTTAAAATTCAAACTTTCCGGTTTCAACAGAATCTGAAAAAAAATGCAAGTATACAAGAATGAGATGTATATGTGTGTAAAATTCAGGGTGAAATACCTTAAAATGCAACCTGTGCAAAAAAAGAAATATTCATAGACTTTGAGGATGAATAGCATCATGTGCTAAAAAGCCTCAATATTTCTTTTGCACAGCCCTAATTCAACCTATTCCATTCTGAAAATTAACACACACGTACATTGTGCCTCCATGTATATGTGTATTTTACTATTTTTCATAATTTTTTGAAACATAGAAATATGAATTTTGTTGAATTTTAATAATTGCAAATAGAGGCTTCCATGGAAGATTTTTTTTCAAAACTATGTTATTTTTTGTAGCAATTTCGGAAACTATAGGACGTAATGCAAAAAAACCAAAACTAGTAGCCCGTCGGCCATTCTTTGGCCGAAGTAGTACTTTTCGGTCACAGCTAGGCCGAAGTAGTACTTTTCGGCCACACTTAGACCGAAATAGACTTTTTGGTCAAGTCTAGGCCGAAAAGTCACTTTTTGGTCAACCCTAGGCCGAAGTTGCATGGCTCATGCTGAAATGTATTTTGTCGCCACCTGTTTCCCGCCCACCCCTTCCCGCCACCCGTTTCCCGCCAACCCCTTCCCGCCATATGTTTCCGCCACCCGTTTCTCGCCAACCCCTCCTCGCCATCCCTTCCCGCCTTATTTTCCCGCCAATCCCTTCCCGCCTTATTTTCCCGCCAATCCCTTCCCGCCTTATTTGCCCGCCAACCCCTCCCGCCAACCCTTTCCCGCCATACCGCAGTTATTCTTTCCCGCCATTTTCTCCTCTGTATCTATAAAACCCCCTTCAGGCGGAGGTGGATAAGCATTCCAGTGTAGTGTAGTCGAGATGTCCCATTATCCATTCGATCGTAGTTTTCACCCTGAGATGAGCAGCACTCTGCTGAGTCTAGCTACCGATTTCAGGATGGACAATAGGATAGTTCCATGGGACGAACTCACCGGTAGTGACACCATAATGAATGAGTTGGCTCACCAACTACGTAGGTCTGGGTGGCCTGAAAGGACCTATGAGGAGGTACGTCAAGAACTTCTTAGGTTGCATGAAAGGTGGAAGAAGGTGGTGGAGCCGAAGAGTGAAACTTTCAGAAGGACTGCAGAAAAGCATCCATTTTTATGGACCGAGGAGAGCGAGGACGACGATGATATCTTCATGCCGCCGCTTCCGAGTTCTGCATCGTCGAAGGGCAAGAGTTCTGCATCGTCCAAAGGAAAGAGTTCTGCATCCGCGAAGGGCAAGAGTTCTGTATCGACCAAGGGCAAGAGTTCTGCATCGACGAAGGGCAAGAGGAGCGCATCGTCGAAGGGCAAGAGGGCTGCATCAACGGAGGATGACGATGATGACTTCATGTAGTATGTAAGATGTATTCCAGTTGTACCGTTTCATTCAGATGTATTTGCATTATTAGTTTGTATTGTATTATTGTAGTGTTCTATCTGAATTTCATTTTGTAGTATGTAAGATGTATTGCACAAGTTCAGCCGCACCGTTTAATTCAGATGTACTTGTATCTTAATTATCGGTTGTAGTCTATTTGGAAATGTAACTGAAATAAGAATGCGAATTAATAGTAATATGTCTCTCGCATACATAAAACAATATATGTCTCCTGATCACATAGAAGCAAGTGCGATAGTAACACATACATGAAGCATGTCTCATACATAAATACTGACACACAGCTGCGAATAGTCTGAAACTAACATAGATAATGAGTCATACATAGATAGATAAGCATATCACTGCGGGGGACGACGACGAGTCTGGGTCTTCCTCGGGCGAGGACCCGAAGGCGATAAGCGCTGAGGCGGTGGACGAGGCTCGCGATAACCACGACCATAGTTAACCTCGTCTGTCATGGTCTGTGTCTCCTGCGTCGGTGGTGGTGATGGAGTGTGAAACACTGTCTGCGAGAAGCCATAAATGTTTGTAGCTTGGTCATCATCCTCGCGGTCGCCCTCAAAGTACGAAGCACCACCACTAAGGATTGGTGACTGCTCTCAATGCATGAACGGTTGCGACTGGTTGCCGCCTGCGGTAAAGTAAAATTGATACAAATGTATGAACGAAGCACCACCAGTAAGCATCAGTGACTGCTGAGAATGCAAGAACGATTACTACACTGTTCAAAAGAATGCAATGAGTAGTGTTACCTAGATTCATCTGCTGATGCCAGTAAGCGCTCCTTGGCTGTGAAGGAGGTGGCTCATGCCAGGAAGAGCTCCCTGGCTGTGAAGGAGGTGGTGTTGGGTAACGTAGCAGAAATTCAAAATTTTCCTACGTGTCACCAAGATCTATCTATGGAGAGACTAGCAACGAGGGGAAGGAGAGTGCATCTAGATACCCTTGTAGATCGCTAAGCGGAAGCGTTCAAGTGAACGGGGTTGATGGAGTCGTACTCGTCGTGATCCAAATCACCGATGATCCTAGTGCCGAACGGACGGCACCTCCGCGTTCAACACACGTACAGCCCGGTGACGTCTCCCATGCCTTGATCCAGCAAGGATAGAGGGAGAGGTTGAGGAAGACTCCATCCAGCAGCAGCACAATGGCGTGGTGGTGGTGGAGGAGCGTGGCAATCCTGCAGGGCTTCACGAAGCACCACGGGAGAGGAGAAGGACTTGGGAGAGGGGAGGGGCTGCACCAGAACATTGGTATGGCTGCCCTCCCACCCCCCACATATATTGGTGCAAGGGAGAGGGGGGGGGGAGGCGCAGCCTTGGCCCTTCCTCCAAGGAAGGGTGCGGCTAGGAGGAGTCCCTCCTTCCCAAGGCACCTCGGAGGTGCCTTCCCCCCTTAGGACTCTTCCTATCCCTCATATCTTGGCGCATGGGCCTCTTGGGGCTGGTGCCCTTGGCCCATATAGGCCAAGGCGCACCCCCTACAGCCCATGTGGCCCCCCGGGGCAGGTGGCCCCACCCGGTGGGCCCACGGGACCCTTCCGGTGGTCCCGATACAATACCGATGACTCCGAAACTTGTCCCGATGGCCGAAATAGGACTTCCTATATATAAATCTTTACCTCCGGACCATTCCGGAACTCCTCATGACGTCCGGGATCTCATCCGGGACTCCGAACAACATTCGGTAACCACATACAAACTTCCTTTATAACCCTAGCGTCATCGAACCTTAAGTGTGTAGACACTACGGGTTCGGGAGACATGCAGACATGATCGAGACGTTCTCCGGTCAATAACCAACAGCGGGATCTGGATACCCATGTTGGCTCCCACATGTTCCACGATGATCTCATCGGATGAACCACGATGTCGAGGATTTGATCAATCCCGTATACAATTCCCTTTGTCTTGCGGTACGATACTTGCCCGAGATTCGATCGTCGGTATCCCGATACCTTGTTCAATCTTGTTACCGACAAGTCTCTTTTACTCGTTCCGTAACACATCATCCCGTGATCAACCCCTTGATCACATTGTGCACATTATGATGATATTCTACCGAGTGGGCCCAGAGATACCTCTCCGTAACACGGAGTGACAAATCTCAGTCTCGATTCGTGCCAACCCAACAGACACCTTCGGAGATACCTGTAGTGTACCTTTATAGCCACCCAGTTACGTTGTGACGTTTGGCACACCCAAAGCACTCCTACGGTATCCGGGAGTTGCACAATCTCATGGTCTAAGGAAATGATACTTGACTTTAAAAAAGCTTTAGCATACGAACTACACGATCTAGTGCTATGCTTAGGATTGGGTCTTGTCCATCACATCATTCTCCTAATGATGTGATCCCGTTATCAACGACATCCAATGTCCATGGTCAGGAAACCGTAACCATCTATTGATCAACGAGCTAGTCAACTAGAGGCTTACTAGGGACATGGTGTTGTCTATGTATCCACACATGTATCTGAGTTTCCTATCAATACAATTCCAGCATGGATAATAAACGATTATCATGAACAAGGAAATATAATAATAACTTATTTATTATTGCCTCTAGGGCATATTTCCAACAGTCTCCCACTTGCACTAGAGTCAATAATCTAGTTCACATCGCCATGTGATTAACACTCACAGGTTACATCGCCATGTGACTAACACCCAAGAGTTTACTAGAGTCAGTAGTCTAGTTCACATCACTATGTGATTAACACTCAATGAATTCTAGGTTTGATCATGTTGCTTGTGAGAGAGGTTTTAGTCAACGGGTCTGAACCTTTCAGATCCGTGTGTGCTTTACAAATCTCTATGTCATCTTCTAGATGTAGCTACCACTTTCTATTTGGAGCTATTCCAAATAGCTGTTCTACTTGGAGCTGTTCTAAATTGTTGCTCCATTATACGTAT